GGCAGTTCCCAGCAAAAATTGAAGGGACGGACTCGCTGAAAGTAGATTCTTTGCCAGGGTATCTTGGGGACCTAGCGGAGAGACCTAGCATCGATTCTCAGGATGCTGACAAAGACAGGGAACAATTTCTGGAGGACATGGCTCGCCATGCAAGGGGCGGGGAAACCAGCCTTGCTGACACAGCAGGTGGTGAACCGCCAAAATCACATGAAAAGCACGAAGCCAGCCTTGCTGAAACAGCAGGTGGTTCGAAAGAAAAACACAACTCTAAACGAAACCGAAGTATCACTTTGATCCGAATCGGTATTCATGGGCCAACCAAGGGTTGTCACGCCTGCGAATCAGGGGGGTACCAACACATCAAAGACTGTAGAGACCGGTTTAACAGACTCATCGATGAAACTGAACCGGCTGAACCCAAGAAATCCCCTCTGATGAACCCAAAGAATTCGATGAACCTGGAGATGACGAATATGAGCCATCCATCGCAGGTGATGATCTTGAAGACTCTAAGGACATCATGGGACTCATCAACGTTGCCAAAGGTCCATCGTTCGAGGTGCAAACTCGAGGTTTGGAGCGGGGCAACGAGGTCGTCGCAGGAATCCTCATCGACTCCCTGGACCGAGGTGATCATGATGAAGAGTCTTTGGCCTTAAAGCTCCAGACCGCGTGTGCAGCACTGACCCAGCCAAGACATGTACACAAACCAGAAAGTAGGTCAACAGAATGGTTTGTAGAATTCTGCTGTTCCGAAACCAGTTCCTGTGGAAAGGTTTGCCAACAACTTGGGATACCATACCTGGGCCTGTCCAGAGAATTTGGGGATGTCCTTGATCCAACTGTGTTTTGTCAAATAGAGTATTGGATGCACGAAAGGGTTCAACTTGAGGAAGTGATTCATATCTTTGGTTCAATCCCGTGTGGGCCGTTTTCACCCCTCCAGAATCTGAACCTTGTTGCCCAAGGAGAACAATACCAGGATTACTTCCAATCTCAAAGGCAAAGATCCCTCAAAATGGTTGAGCTGTTTGACAGGTTGTCTAACGTAGCTATGATTTCGGGGGGGTCCTCATCATTTGAATGTCCTAAGAACAGCCCAGGGTGGAAAGAAGACATGGTGTTAAACATGATTTCCAGGTTGAACATGCATGCTGGTTACCCAACCGGGTGTGGGTTTGATCTTACCATTGATGGTCGCAAACCCCTCAAAGAGTGGCGGATAGTTTCTACTTCAAAGCGACTTGCGGGGGAAATGAACAAGTACCAGTGCAAGCATCCTCTTGGCTTCCGTCACGATGAATTGGTTGGTGGTAGATTGGCAGAGAAAAGTGGTTTTTACAATTTGAAAATGGCAACTGCAATCGTTTCCTCTCTGTGTGTCAGGTCAATCATGAACCATGTTCCCCAAATGCCGACCGTGAAAGGAACCATTGCCCACGAGGAACAAGGCATGTGGCTTGCGCGTGAAGTTCTGGCGCTTGTCAACCGCCCCCTCTCCAGGGAGGAAATTCTGCGGAACCCGAAAGCCAAGGAAGTCCTCATGAAGGAGGCCAACGAGATGCGTTCCATGAAAGTGTGGGATGAGTCAAAAGCAATAGAAGTTGATGAATTGCTAGAATCATGCAGAAGGAATGGGGAAACTATCCACATTTCTGAAATCATGCCCATTTGCTATGAAAAGCATTCTGAGTTACAGCCAGAATTTCGTCAACTCAGAGCTAGGCTGGTTTATCGCGGAGATGCTTGCCGAACTGAAAAGGGTGTCAAAGCAACCTACAGGGAAGTAAAATCATTGCCAGCTATGGTTCATTCCATCAACATCGTGTTCTTTTACGGAATGCGACCCGGGAATGTTGTTCAAATCTCAGATGCCATCAAAGCGTACCTTCAAGCGCCACTGAAAACGACAGTACCTACATGGGCAATAATTCCGAAGGTAGTTTGGAGAGACGAATGGCACTCCAGATTCAGGAAGGTTGCATGCCCATTGGATCGCGCCTTGTATGGACACCAGACTGCTGGTGACGATTGGTTTGATTACTTTGACAACACCCTGGTTACAAAAATGAAAGGAAAAAGAATTGAACAGTTTCCAAGTGTTTGGTGGTTCAAGGATTGGGAAGTTCTTGTAGCTACTTACGTGGATGATGTAATCGCTGCCGGACCTGAACAGGGAGTCGCCAAGTTTTGGGAAACAGTCAGGAGTCACGTGTCGTTTGATGACGTCACTGTTCCTGGAAGGTACCTAGGAAGGGATCACCTTGTGGTTGAGCTAAACAAAGGGAAGAAAGTCTTCATGTCCATGCCTGACTACGCACGTTCATCGTATGAAATGTATGAGTCAGAATTTGGAGCCCTAAAACCTTGTGAAACCCCATTCGTCTCCGAATCTCTGCTTACCACTGAGGGGTATGAATCTCAGGGACAGTTAGCTGGACATGCAGCGTCGCTACTCATGAAATTGCTGTGGCTGTCACGGCTTTCCAGGCCGGACCTGTCCTTTGCTATTACCAGCTTAGCCGGGGCAATATGCAAGTGGTCTAGGAACCATGACATCCAGTTGAAACGTCTCCTAGGTTATGTAAAGCAAACATGTGATTTAGGTCTATGGGGTCATGTGCCTGGTTACCATCCCCCAACTCTCAGGGTTTACTGTGACGCGGACCTTGCAGGAGACCCTCTCACATGCAAGAGCCACACTGGCATTCTTGTTGTGCTTGACTTCCAAGGTGAAGCGACATTCCCGGTGAGTTGGTGCTCCAAACGTCAAACAGCAGTTGCAAGGTCAACAACTGAAGCTGAGTTGGCTTCAGCAAATGAGGCTGTTTTTCAAGAGTGTCTTCCAATCAAAACCATCCTTGAAGAAATCCTCAAAACCACCATTGAGACTGTAGTCCACGAAGACAACACAGCTACAATACAAGTGATAGCCACAGGCTACAGCCCTAAGCTGCGCTCCATGAACAGAACCCATCGCATATCCGTAGCAGCGCTATCAGAAGCGGTAGAGCGAAACCTAATAAAGGTAGAGCATATCGAGTCCAAGCAACAACTAGCCGATTTGCTCACAAAAGCTCTCAACAAACAGGTATTCCTCCATCTCCGTAATCTCGTCGGTCTCAAACCGAGGAAGGAAAATGTCAAAGACTAAGGAACACCAAGGTTGTTTGAGTTGCCTCTGAGTCAATGCCACTGCATAGATTGCCCAGCTTACGAGCGGGAATCTGAGGAAGTTGCGTGCAGCTTTGGGCGTTTGGCAGTGCAGCTGGTGAGCTTGGGCCTTTGGCAGCGTAGCTGGTGAGAACTGTGAATAGTTTTGGTGAACCTTCCAGAAGGGCTGTTTAACTCTCCAGATCTTTGTCCATCTCCCCTTCGGTACATACGAGACCCTGTGCAGGGGGGGTCTCACTTGGACCGTTAAAGGCTACGCCTTTTGATGGCACGATCTGGGGGGGGGCCGTACAATGATTGGGGGTTTTCACCATGTTTTGTTTCACCAAGCCACTTTGGTATAATTCATGCAATAATAGATGATTAACATAGTCATCATCACTAATTACTTTGGCTCAAGTGGAGTAAAAGGTACTTCACTTGCTTTGCATGAAAGAAATAGGCCGTAGAAAGAATTTCAAGAATAGTTCAACCAAGAAAGAAGCGAACTGTTGTGTGTGAGGTAAAGGTTAAGCACTTAGCAGTGTCCAAAATTCACTCCCGTATATTTTCTATCAGGCTTCCTTCCCATCTCTGTTCTTCTCGTGCTCGGTTCTCCGGTAGCTGCAGGTGCTGAAGCTCATGTCCATACCGAGTCAAATTGAATAGCCAGGTCCATATGTCAGAACATATGCTTGCAGATCTGTAGCAGGTTGTCAAAGCACATGTCAGTACAAATGAATGTCAATGCGTGAAATTCATGCCAAGGCATCTGCCCTCAAGAATGTTTTCAGCTATGTCAGCTCGTTTTCCAGGAAAATGTCTTAACCTACGTAAGTGCAATTTGCAAGTGTGCATGCGGTAGCCATACAAACAGTAAATGCTTCAGACCATTGCCATCATATTTGATGTGGTAAATGTGGTATATTGTGATGTCACTGTGCCTGTCCGTTTTTTTTTTGTGGGATCACTCGGAGTGGAACATTCGGAGTGATGTGGATATGGTGTTGCTTTGAAGTACAGCCGCACTTATGCGTATCATGCGCGTGAGAGGGAGATAAATGCATAAATGGATAGATGGATGGATCGGTAGATGGTTAGATGGATCGATGGACAGATGGAAAGATGGATAGACAGATGGATGAAGGGATCGATGGATGGATGGATGTATAGACGGACAGGTAGGTAGACAAATAGGTAGATGGATGGATGGATGGATAGATGGGTAAATAGAAAGATCGATGGATAGAGAAATAGATAGATAGATCGAACAGACAGACAGACAGATAGATAGATAGATCGATAGATAGGTAGATGGATAGACAGACAGATAGAAAAATAGATAGAAAGGTAGATGGACAGACAGATAGATAGACAGATAGAAAGAGATAGAAATCGAGATAGGGATAGAGGTATAGAGAGAACAGAGATGTAGGTAGGTAGGTGGGTGGGTGGGTGGGCAGGCAGGCAGGCAGGTAGGTAGGTGGATAGGTTGAAAGAAAGAAAGAAAAAAGGAAGAAAGAAAGAAAGAAAGAAAGAACGAAAGAACGAAAGAAAGAAAGACAGAAAGAAAGAAAGACAGAAAGAAAGAAAGAAAGCAAGCAAGAAAGAAACGAAGAAAAACAGGAAGGAAGGAAGGAAGGGAAGGGAAGGGAAGGGAAGGGAAGGGAGGAAGGAAGGAAGGAAGGAAGCAAGAAAGAAAGAAAGAAAGAAAGAAAGAAAGAAAGAAAGAAAAATAGATGTTAAACACGGCATGTGCGTGCTTGCATAGTAGTCCCTCTTCTTGGCTTTGGCTGAGAGCGTGGAAGGGCTTGCCAGTTTGCCACGTTGCTAGCTGCTAGCGGAAGGACACTGAGCTCGTCCACGGCGAGATCAAGCGTGGCACCAAAATCATTTGCTATCTCAAGGAGGATCAGTCCGAGTTCCTTGAGGAGCGCCGCCTGAAGGATTTGGTCAAGAAGCACTCAGAGTTCATCGGCTTCCCCATCGAGCTCTACGTGGAGAAGAGCAAAGAGAAGGAAGTCACTGACAGTGAAGATGAGGGAGAGGCTGAAGAGAAAAAGGAAGAAGGTGATGAGCCAAAGATCGAGGAGGTCGACGAGGAGAAAGAGAAGGAAGAGAAGAAGAAAAAAACAAAGAAAGTCAAAGAGGTGTCCCACGAATGGGAACAGCTCAACAAGAACAAACCTCTGTGGATGCGCAAGTCTGAGGACCGTTTGGCATTGTCTGTCAAAATTGTTCATTGTTCCCCAAACAGTGTACTGTTAGGGGTTCTCAATTAAATGCAGTCTTGAGGTGTCCGCCTTGGTGTTGGATGGTGTGTCTGCCTTCCCGAGGGTCTTGTCTCCCCTTGTCTCCCCTTTTTTCTCCTTCTCTCCCTTCTTGTTTCCCTTTGTTGGATGGTGTGTCCGCCTTCCCGAGGGTCTTGTCTCCCCTTGTCTCCCCTTTTTTCTCCCCTTGTCTCCCCATTGTCTCCCTTCTTGTTTCCCTTCTTGTTTCCCTTTGTTGGATGGTGTGTCCGCCTTCCTGAGGGTCTTGTCTCCCCTTTTCTCTCCCCTTGTCTCCCTTCTTTTTCCCCAAGCAGTGTACTGTTAGGGGTTCTTAATGCTTTCTTAAGGTGTCCGCCTTGGTGTTCGATGGTGTGTCCGCCGAAGGTCTTGTCTCCCTTTGTCTCCCATTGTGCCCCTTCTTGTTTCCCCTTGTCGGATGGTGTGTCCGCCTTGCCGAGGGTCTTATCTGCCTTTGTCTCCCACTGCACCCCTTCTTGTTTCCCTTTGTTGGATGGTGTGTCCGTCTTTCCGAGGCTCTTGTCTGCCTTTGTCTCCCATTGTACCCCTTCTTGTTTCCCTTTGTTGGATTCTCCCTTTGTCTCCCATTGTACCCCTTCTTGTTTTCCCTGGTTGGATGGTTTGTCCGCCTTCCCGAGGGTCTTGTCTCCTTTTGTCTCCCCCTGTACACCTTCTTGTTTCCCTTTGTTGGATGGTGTGCCACCTTTCCGAGGGTCTTGTCTCCTCTTGTCTGCGACTGTACCCCATTCATTTTTCCCTTTGTTGGATGCTGTGCCCCTTCTTGTTTCCCCTTGTTGGATGGTTTGTCCGCCTTTCCGAGGGTCTTGTCTCCCAATGTTTCCCATTGTCTCCCCACATGTGTGCCTGTGTTGGATGGCACGTCCGCTTTCCTGAGGTCTTGTCTCCCATTGCCCCCCATTGTCTCTCATTGTCTCCCCACGTGTGTGCCTGTGTTGGATGGTGTGCCCGAGGTCTTGTCTCCCCTTCTCTCCCATTGAGCCCATTGTCTCCCATTGTCTCCCCACATGTGTGCCTGTGTTGGATGGTCCACCTTCCCGAAGTTTTTCATTGTCTCCCATTGTCTCCTAGATGTCCGCCTTCCCGAGGTCTTGTCTCGCCTTGTCTCCCCACATGTGTGCCTGTGTTGGATGGGTCCGCCTTCCCGCGGTCTTGTCTTCCCTTGTCTGCCTGTGTTGGATGGTGTGTCCGCCTTCCCGACGTCGTGTCTCCCCTTGTCTCCCCACATTGGTGCCTGTGTTGGATGGTGTCTCCGCCTTGGATCATGTCCGCCTTTAAGAGGCCTTGTCGTCCCTTGTCTCTGATTGTGTCCCCACACGTGTGCCCGTGTTGGATGTTGTGCCCGCCTTCCCGAGGTCTTGTCTCCTTTTGTCTCCCCACATGTGTGCCTGTGTTGGATGGTGTGTCCCCCTTCGCAAGGTCTTGTCTCCCCTTGTCTCCCATTGTCCCCACATGTGTGCCTGTGTTGGATGGTGCGTCCACCTTCCCGCGGTTTTGTCTCCCCCTTAGTCTCCCATTGTCTCCCTTCTTGTTTCCCTGGGTTGGATGGTGTGTCCGCCTTCCCGAGGTTTTGTCTCCGTTGTCTCCCAGCTTGTCTCTCAACTTGTCTCTCTTCTTGTTTCCCTTTGTGGCGGGTGGTCTCATTTTGTTTTTTTCCCAAAGAGTGTACGGTTAGGTTCCTCAAAAACACGTTTTGAATCCACCCACTGTTTGGGGTCTACCGTGGAGTAAATTTTATAAAATTGGCTTGGTTGTTTGGTCAGTGTCACTGAAAGAGGTTGACAAACCTGAGCAGGATGTGACAAATGAAGAGTACGCGAGCTTCTACAAGTCATTGTCCAACGACTGGGAGGATCACCTCGCGGTGAAGCATTTCAGCGTTGAGGGTCAGCTTGAGTTCCGTGCCCTGCTTTTTGTCCCTCGCAGGGCGCCCTTTGATCTCTTCGAGACCAAGAAGAAGAGGAACAACATCAAGCTATATGTCCGCCGCGTCTTCATCATGGATGACTGCGAGGAGCTCATGCCAGAATGGCTGAACTTTGTGAAGGGCGTCGTGGATTCTGAGGATCTTCCTCTGAACATCTCTCGCGAGACTTTGCAACAGAACAAGATCTTGCGAGTGATCAAGAAGAACCTTGTCAAGAAGTGCCTGGAGATGTTCGCGGAGATTGCAGAGAAGAAGGACAGGGGTGTAAACTTGCTACGCCCATGTATGTACTCTTAGGTAAACATGGCAAAGGCCTAATGACGTCCAAGAGCCTAACAATTAGCCCCTTCACAAGTGCTGTATAATGTTTGCTGCTGGGTTCGTAGCTTTGCTTTGGGGCCCGTTTGAAGCCTTGAAGGATGATTACAAGAAGTTCTACGAGGCATTCGGCAAGTGCTTGAAGCTCGGGGTGCATGAAGACTCCACCAACCGCACCAAGATTGCAGAGCTCCTGCGCTTCCACACCTCCAAGTCTGGTGATGAGCAGATCAGCCTCAAGGAGTACGTGGATCGCATGAAGGAAGGACAGAACGACATCTTCTACATCACCGGCGAGAGTGTTGCCGCCGTCTCTTCCTCGCCATTCTTGGAGACCCTCCGCAAGAAGGGCATCGAGGTTCTGTACATGGTTGCTTGCCAAGTAATAAGTAAATGTTTTTCAAGTTGTTCGATTGATTACCCATGATGCTGGATAATGCTGGTGGATTTCCTTCCAGCTTTCTTTCCATAGACAAAATTAAGTTCAACAACCTCAGCATGACTTCAACCGTTGTCTTCGGCCAGCTGACAAATTATGACATGATTGGATAGTTTGCACTGTCCTTTGGCCAGTGTCAAGTGCAAAGTTTTCACTTCAACAGGTTGACCCCATCGATGAGTACGCAACGCAGCAGCTGAAGGAGTTCGATGGCAAGAAGCTCAAGAGCACCACCAAGGAGGGTCTTGACATCGATGATGAGGATGAGAAGAAGAAGATTGAGGAGCTGAAAGCTGAGTTTGAGCCACTCACTAAGCTCATGAAGGAGGTCCTTGGCGACAAGGTGGAGAAGGTCCTTGTGAGCTCCCGCATGGCAGACTCTCCATGTGTCTTGACCACCTCCGAGTACGGCTGGTCTGCCAACATGGAGCGCATCATGAAAGCGCAAGCCCTTCGCGACAACTCCATGACTTCTTACATGGTTTCCAAGAAGACCATGGAAGTGAACCCAAAGCACTCCATCATGGTTGAGCTCAAGCGCCCTGGTGACATCTAATGGCTGGCTCTGACATGATGCTTCCCTTGTAGCCAGACACCAGCCGGGGTCAAATGTACGATGCTGGCTTCATGCTGACAATGACCACGACGAAGATGTTGGCGCTGATGTTGATGTTGAGGTGGTGTTGGTGTTCGCGTTGATGGTGTTGCCATTGTTGTTTTTGGCCTTCTTGGCGTTGTTGGTGCTGTTGTAATTTGTGCGGTTGGCTTGATTGTTGTGGTTGTAGTTGGGGTGTTCATTGACCTGGTGTTAGTGGTGTCGGCGGCGTTCTACAAAGGTTTCAGTGGTGTCAGCGTTGACGGTTGCGTCAGAGGCGTGCGTGGTATTGGTCTGGTTGAAATGCGTGTTGTGGTTTGGTGCTGCGGTTGGCTGTTGTGCTTGTTAAGGTTGTCGGGTTTGTCGGGTTTGTTGTGGTTGTTTGTGGTTGTGGTCTTTATTTTGCTTGGTTTGGTCCTTTTGGTCCTTTTGATCCTTTTGGTTGTTATTTTGGTTGGTTAGGTCCTTTTGGCCTTTTGGTTGTTTCGGTTGTTGTGGTTGTCAAGTTTTTAGGTTTATTCGTTTGTTTTTGTTTGTTTTTGTTTTTTTGTTTCATTGCGATTGCGATTGTGGTTGTGGTTGTGATGGTTGTTGTGGTGGTTGTGGTGGTTGTGGTGGTTGTGGTGGTTGTGGTGGTTGTGGTGGTTGTGGTGGTTGTGGTGGTTGTGGTGGTTGTGGTGGTTGTGGTGGTTGTGGTGGTTGTGGTTGTGGCAGTTGTGGTTGCGGTTGTTCCGGTTGTTCCGGTTGTTGCGGTTGTTGCGGTTGTTGCGGTTGTTGCGGTTGTTGCGGTTGTTGCGGTTGTTGCTGTTGTTGCTGTTGTTGCGGTTGTTGCTGTTGTTGCTGTTGTTGTTGCTTGCTGGTTGCTGGTTGCTGGTTGCTGGTTGCTGGTTGCTGGTTGCTGGTTGCTGGTTGCTGGTTGCTGCTGGTGTTGTTGTTGTAGTTGTTGTAGTTGTTGTAGTTGTAGTTCTAGTTGTAGTTGTAGTTGTTGTGTAGTTGTAGTTGTAGTTGTAGTTGTTGTAGTTGTTGTAGTTGTAGTTGTTGTGGTTGGTGTTGTTGTAATTGTTGTTGTTGTTGTTGTTGTTGTTGTTGTTGTTGTTGTTGTTGTTGTTGTTGTTGTTGCTGCTGCTGCTGCTGCTTGCTGCTTGCTGCTGCTGCTGCTGCTGCTGCTGGTGCTGGTGTTGGTGTTGGTGTTGTTGTTGTTGTTGATGTTGTTGATGTTGTTTTCGTTGGTTGTTTTCGTTGGTTGTCGGTCGTTGATTGTTGGTCACTGGATGTTGGCTTTTGGTTGTTGTTTCATGGTTGCTGCTGCTGCCGGTGGTGGTGATGATTCTTTTTTGGGTCAACTGGCGTCCAACATCAGACGATTGATGTGCGGATTGACAGATCGATGATCGGGGGTTCGCTCTGCAGAACAAATTTCCAAGGAAGAAGGCAGCCGCAGACAAGTCGGACAAGACCGTGAAAGATTTGATCTGGTTGCTCTTTGACACTTCGCTTCTCACTTCTGGTTTCAACTTGGACGAACCAACCCAATTCGCTGGCCGCATCCATCGCATGATCAAGCTTGGCTTGAGCATTGATGATGATGATGAGGGACTTGGAGATGACGACGACTTGCCTCCACTTGAGGAAGTGGAAGGAGCTGCTGATGAGGCCTCCAAGATGGAAGAGGTCGATTAGATGCAGCCTCAGTCGCCAGGTAGGAATTCGCACTAGGCTTTAGGCATTTTGCGACCATTGATTTGGTCGATGTCTACTAGACAGCAGAAACCAGCACATACCTTTTGTCCACAGGGAAAAAGGTGGCGGTATCTTCACTGCCATTGCTTTGAACAAAAATTATGTACAAACACGTGAACCAAGATCTGTAGTTGTTTAGGTTATAGACTAGTGACTACTTATTATAGACATTGAAATTTGATTTCGTTGTACGTATTCAATTGTGGGGATTTGCATTACAACACCGAAAAAAAAGGATGCCAAAAAGGTTTTGGGCAGCATGTACATTTCATAAACAAAAGGTAAACCGAGTGGCTCGAAGCGGCTACAGAAACCCAATGTGAGAGGCGGAAGATGGACCAATGATGCGCAGGTCGGGCCAGTTACTAGGTTGGGCATTTCATGTCAAGAATCAAAGGTTTACCTTTTCATTTGATTTGTGGTTTGGAAGGAGCGACAGAATACTGGTTTCGCACTTTAGTGCTGTGTGGTTCAGTGATGAATCCTCTTCAAATCTGTTTTTTGGCCTTCAAATTGGTGCTTTGGCTTTTGTGCCTGGGAAGCTTGGATGCGGCTGTCAATGGGTAGGCGGGTAGGATACACTTGGTCGCAACATGAGTCAATCCCATTTATGCACATTATTTGGCCCACAACCAGCATAAATGTCACTGGTGAAGTGAACAGGTCTAGTGAGTCTACTGCTGTTTGCTGAAAAATCACCTCGACGCCTGGCAGGATGCTTTTTTCGATGGCTCGCGTCTTTGTGCGCGTCTCCGGCAACCGGATACCTCGTTCAAGACACGATGCACACACGTAGCTCGGTGAAGTGGTGGAGCTGGCAGTTGGATGGTCGCCTGGTCGTGGCTCCGTTGGTTTTTTTGGGCCCAGAATATTTCTGTCCCAATGACTGATTTGACATCCCCTGGGTTGAAAACTGGCCCATGGGGATCATCCATTAGGCATTGGGCCCTACAACACTGACAAGCTGCGACAGTATTTTTTGTTCACAAAGAGGTGAGAACTGAGGTTCAAGATGGTTCATGGCAAAAGAGGTTTACTCTCCAAGCATTCACTCATTCCATCCCAGTTGCAATCCAACACATACAGATTAATATATTGGAGCTTTTTCTTAGAAATTCGCTGTTTATGTTTGAAGCCTCAGTTGTGAATGAGTTTTTGCCTTGCATTCTTTTTCGCTCAAGACTTCATCCTCGTCGTCAGAGTTGAATGTCGCGGGCTTTGGTGCCTCTTACCGCTGGTGCTTTTGGCGGTTGGTGGTGGCTCCGTGACTGGGCCCTACATTCTGGTTTTGGCCTATTAGGCTCATCTATCGTTTTGGGGACTCACCAGATTTGGGTTGATCAATTACAATCCATTATCATTGACTGGTCTGACATCCTTTCGGCTTTCTGGCAACTGAGTGGTTTGGTCATAGCCTGGGAGTTGAGAGTTGAGATCTTGTATATCCTGCGGCAGCTTTTGATTCTGGGTGGCTATCTTTTAGGGATTTGCCTTTGGATTCTGCGGCAGAATAGCGGTGCGGGCAATTCAAGATTGGAATTTGAAGTTGGATCCAGCGTTGAGCTTGAGCCCTGGACAGAGCAAGACCAGTCTTTAACCTGCATGGCAGCAGCGCCGGCTGCACCGTACCCGGTGGGAAGTTTCTTGCTGGTATCCCGCCCTCCAAATTGGGACGAAATATGGGTAGCTGGTTACACCAATGGTGGCGGAGACATCCTTGGGAGGACCACTACTTCAGATGGGAGTCAATGGCAATGGGTGGTGGTGCGGCCGGTTGGCCAATCCATAAAAATTCCTGTGACTGGTGGCGATGGAACGCGTACTGCTCCCCCTGGTGTTGTTGCTGCAGCAGTCAACTGGATTTGTCTCCCACCTGCCTGCGACCACCAATGGCTTCCAGATGCAGTGGAAGTGATCAACTTGTCTCAGGAAGCGACCAGCCTCCTGGGGCAGTTGGCCTCGAATCCAGCCGGTGTGACGTTGAATACGGCTGGGGCTGCTGGCGACCTGTCACCTTTAGTGGCTCAGCCTCCATTGGCGCCAGGCGGTGTCGGCGTGGGGGTCAATGCTGGAAACCTAGGGGGACAAGGGCTGGGACTGGCAGGCGGAGGCGGAGGGTCACCGAATGCCGTGGATCTCAAGGCCTTGGAATCAGCAGTGCAACAGTTGCAGGCGCTTGCTTTGAGAGACAAAGAGGATCGCAAGAAGGACAAGAAGTCCAAGAAGCGCCACAAGGATTCATCGCACAAGAAGAAGAAAAAGAAAAAGAAATCCAAGAAGTCCAAGAGGTCCCGCAGCTCCACCAGCAGCAACTCTTCAACGAGCAGTCGGTCAAGGAGCCGGTCAGGGTCCTCGACTTCCAGCGGCCCTCTCAAGTGGAAGGAGGATGGCAAGGATCGGCGTGTGTCATACAGCAGTTTGACACACGTCGACCAACTCAAGTTCAAGAAGAAGGGGGATCTGGTGGCATTCGCGGCAAAGAACCCAGGGGCTTTAACAGCCCACTTCCTTGCTTCGGTCTACGCCAGGCTCTCGAAGGGGGTGGTGGATCGCAGTGGTCAGCTCCGCGATGTTTCGGTGGGGGCGTGGGCACAGCAGTTCACTGGCTTGACAGAGCTGAGGGATTTGAAAGAGGTATACACCCTGGCAGAAGTTCTGGACTATGTGAACAGGAGAGAGGTTGCCAGGGCTTTGGATGTTCTCTGTCAGAGGATCCTTGCCATCCAGTCAGCCAAGGCAAAGAACGGGTCATGGGAGAAGGCGGAATCCTTGGAGCTTGTCAACGGCCAGCGGAGCCTTGCCAGCTCAAGCATGCTGGCATTGACCAACCAATGACGATTGGGATGAGGATGTGGAGGGCGTGGGCATCCATGGGAGGCTTGCAGCATGAGGTAGAAGGCTTTGATAGCTACTTTCAGCGATCTGTTAAGGCCATGAAGGTGGCTCTGGCTTCATTCTCCTCAAGGTCTTCACTTGGAGGCTGTGCTGACCAGGTTTTTCAGGTTGCTTCCTCTCCACAGCGGTTGTACAGCTACAAGAAGGCTTGTAGTCAAAACCATGGGGTGTCACCGTCACACGTGTTTCCCTTAGCACCTATGTCTTTTGAGGGGTCATTGATTCCTTTGAGATCTGGTCCGCTCGAGTGGCTTTGTTTGGGTGGCAATATGGTGGTGGCAGCTCTTAATTGGATGCATGGAGGGCCTACGGATGCTGTTTCAGCAACTCTGTCGGCGGCTCATGAGCGGTCTCATGCTCGGATAGCACGAGGCTTGCAGGACATGGTGATGACCGATGATCCTATCCTGAGCAAAGGTGCTTTGGATCAATTTCTTCGACAGTCGCAGCATTACCGTGGAGGTGGTGCTGTTCTGGCTTTGGGTGTCAAGGGGGGCGTACCAGATCGCGCAGCAGATGTGCCTCTGAGCGATCATCTCAGCTCCCTTTTTCCAGCGATGGCTGAGCAGGTGAGGGAACCGCGCGCATTGCTTTTGTCATCAAGGAAGCGGCCTAGACGGGTCAAGCGAGGCTACACTTGGTTGGCCGCTAGCTACCCAAAGTTGGTCCTAAAGAATGTTGAGGCGGGACTTCATCGTCTTAAGAAACCTTCACAGGTTGCACGACACAGGGGTGCCATGGTTTTAGCAGGTGCTTTTGCTGTTGCTAAAGATGATAAGGAAGATAGAGTTATCACTGATCCTAGTGTCAATCAGTTGTTGAACCCTGAGAAGTTGCCTAGACCCAAGTTTGCATTCATCCCATCATTGCGAGTTTTGACGGTGCCGCGCACTGGCATTATCACTGTCTCCAAGCGGGATGCCCGACACTACTTCCACAGGCTCCGGATTGGGAAGAAGTGGCATCGGTGGCTTTGCGGTCCAGGTATTCATGTGGGTCGGGAGGCCAAGGTATTTCATCCAGCGTGTCAGGCTGCACCCATGGGTTTTGGGCCTTCTGCTGGGTGGGCCCAAGGGCTCACAGATGTGGCTACAACAGATGCAGAGTTGCCTATGTCATGTCGTATCCGTCCGGACTTTGTGGTACCAGAGGGTCTTCCGGTTTGGGGTTCAATCATAGATGATTTGTGGGCTTTGGATCATGTGGATGATATTGATGGTGTAGCAGTCACAGGACCTGAGTGGCTCAACCGAGCGGAGGAAGCCTGGGAGCTTCGAGGGGTTGAGTCCCATAAGAAGAAATCAGTAGATGGAGCCAGAGGTGAAGAGATTCAGGGCTACTATGTGCATCCATTTGGTCATTGGGTCGGGCTGTCACTCGAAAAACGTAGGTACTTGTATCAGGCTACTATGCAAGTGCTTATGCAACGTGATGTTCACATTGGAGTGGTGGAATGGCTCATTGGCAAGCATGGGTTTGCGCATTCCAGCCGTCCCTGCCTCAGGTCAATCTTCAGCTACACTTATCAATGGCTTCAAGAAGTACGTTCTCAGAGGCACGAGCGAAAAAGGGTGGTACTGCCTCTCACTGTGTGGCACGAGTTGGCGGCGTCAGCACTCTTATTGCCTTTTGCACAATTTGACGTTTCAAGTCCATGGTCACAGCGAGTAGAAGCGACCGACGCATCGCTCACAGGTATTGGGCGCTCATTTGCTGTGATGCCTGAAGCGGTGGTGAAGGCCCTGGCTCGGTACAGTGCTGCAAAAGGGGTTTACACCAACGTTTCATTACCATGGGGTGTTAATCTTTCTGAAGAACATACTTGTCCCATTAGAAAAGTTCGTCTCCCCAAAGAAAGGGTTAAATGGAAGCATCTTGGTTGTCCCTGGTCACCAAAGCACATTACACTGGGAGAAGCCGATGCAGCAGTTTGGGCGGCAAGCGATAGATTGCGTAGATCATCGGACGATGGAAAGAGGTTTGTACATCCACTGGACAGTGTAGCAGTTACAGGTGCGTTCACTAAAGGCAGATCGAGTTCCTATGCTTTAAACGATCGCTGTAGGCAGATGTGTGCAATCAATATTTGTGGCGGCCATGATGTGTTTTACCCATGGATACCCTCAGCTGACAACCCCGCTGATGAACCATCTCGATGGTACGAACAGCCAGGTGACCAGACTGAGTTGAGCCTGCAAGAGCCGGGCAGCAGTGAACCGGTGGTGGATTTGCGGTGCCTTGGATGTTTTCCCAAAGATGCATACTATTTCATTCATTTGTGTTCAGGACCCCGTCGGAATGGTGATCTTTTGGACAGTGTTGAAAGAGCATGCAGCCAAGTTGGTATAGATGTTGTAGGCATAGCAATAGATCCACTGGCGACAGTTTTCAGCAGCGACGGATCGTTTTCACCCATCAAGGGCGATTTGCTGGCTCCATTTTGGGGGCGCTACGTGTTAGATCTGATTCACAGTAGGCGTGTGTTGGGTGGTTTTGGATCCCCTCCATGTTCAACCATTTCAGCAGCAAGACATCGTCCTTTGGCGGGTGGTGGCGGACCCAGACCTTTGAGGAGTCGTGATGCTCCATGGGAGCCTCTCCCATACTGCACTACACGTGAAGTGCTAGCAGTGCAAACTGGCAGCCTGTTGTTCCTCTTGTGTGTGGGCATATTGGGTGAGATTTGCTATTTTGGAGGTTGGGTAGGTCTTGAACATCCAGCTGATCGTGGCAAACCCCCTTTTGCGTCATTTTTCAACACGGAGGAGATGGCATTGTTCAAAGTTTGTTGCAGATTGCGCTACTATGTAGTTGATCAGTGTATGTATGGGACCCCTTCTAAGAAACCTACGGGATTAGTCTTGCCAGAAGGGAGTGCCACCATGGTTCGACGATGTCATCATGATCGGAAACATGAGATGTTGTTGGGGCGGCTGGCGGATGGCTCTTTCAAAACTACTGCAGCGGCTAGATACCCTGCCGATTTATGTTTTGAGCTGGCTCGAGTGTTTGCTGATCGGTGTTTGAAGTGTCGGGAGAAGGGCTTCATTTTTCCATTTCGCCCCAAGTCCTCTGATGATTTGTCTCTAGCCGAAGTAGATCCTTGGGGGCTTGGTATCCATGTGGCATGGAGGTGGCCTAGACCGCGTCCAAACTTTCTTACTGAACTCGTTGAAACCATCAACCATTCGAAAATACATTGCAGTGCTCGAACAACTCAACAGTGACCTCACTGAACAAAATGTTGATTGGGGACATCTGACCGATGACCAGAAAGATGATTTTTTGGCTGAATGGGTATTATCTGGCTATGAGCAAGGCTTAGGCAAGGCTGAATTTAGTTGGGGGCTATCAGCGGTGCAGAAGATTTTTCCAAGACTGCGTATCAAGACTGCGTGGCGGGTTCTGGACACTTGGGGGTTGCTGGTGCCTGTGCATCAAGCCCCGGCGGCTCCTCCAGAGCTTTTGCAGGCCATGGTGATTATGGCCCTTCTGTTGAACAAACCACAACTGAGTTTAGTCATGCTGTTTGCCTATGCTGGTCTTCTAAGAATCCGTGAAGCCTTGAATCTTCGAGTCAAAGATGTCATTCTTCAATCTACTTCGGTAACGCTGTGTTTGTCATCTACCAAGACAGGCATTGAGCAAAAGGTTGTCCTCACCAATTCCACAGTGGTTCGTTATGCTGCTTGGTTTTTCACGTGTTTTCCACCAAAGGCCCCTGAACAATGGATGTTTCAGATTTCTTATAGCTCGGCTCTTCGATGGGTGCGAAAGCTTTCTGAGCTTCTGGGGGCTGACAGAAGCTGTGGCGCGCATGTATGAGCAAAGCTTTGGCGCAATGGCGTCACAGTGCTGTCATTATCTTACATGCAGAGTCCCTGGACAAAAGCGTCAGCTTGTGCAGTATACAGTTCCCGGAAGGGTTGCATGATCAACTTTTGGCTGACTTGAACATAAATATATATACATGTTGCAAACACAATCACACACACAGACACATATATAATATAATATAATATAATATAATATGATATGATATATGATATGATATGATATAATATAATATAATATAATATAATATAATTATGTATAATATAATATAATATCATATAATATAATATAATATAATATACATAATATAATATAATATAATATAATATTATGTTATATTATATTATATTATATTGTATTGTATTGTATTATATTATATTATATTATATGTTATATTATGTTATATTATGTTATATTATATTATATTATATTATGTTATGTTATGTTATATTATATTGTATTGTATTGTATTGTATTATATTATATATTATATATTATATATTATATATTATATATTATATATTATATATTATATTATATTATATTATATTATATTATATTATATGTATTATACACACACGTCTTGTGTTTGACACCCCAAACAGAACTGACAACTGTAAAGAAGCAACTCTTCACAATTTTTCGCCATTTGGGCAGCATTCGAGAATGTCAAGTGGAGTTAAAGGTGGGCTCAAACGGATTTGCGAAAGCCCTGCGAAGCTGCTCGAAAGTTGATATTGTAGCGGCATTTATGTTTCTAAATCATCTACACACACACACATCTCTATATATATATAAATATGTATATGATATGTATATATATATGTATATATATATGTATATAATATGTATATATGTGGGTGTGCGTTCCGCCCACTTACGGCGAAAAATCAGTGAAAGTGGTTTCCCAAAAGTTCACCTTCGCTTTGCATTCGCGAAAGCCTCCAGAACATGTGTTGTGTTTTCTCACACAAAGCTGTGAAACCAGGATAATGATGGAGTATGGACAATGCTCATTTATCCATGCCATACGATTTATGAACTTCATATTAAACAACCAGCTTATTTGTCAACATCCAAGGAGAAACAGTCGATATTTTGTCTCATTTTTCTCGCCATTCCCGAGAAATGGCCGCGGGAGGTCATTGCGGATCAGACCTTCCGCGTCAGCGCCGCTGGCGACTTTGAGCCCGATGGCGCCTCCGAAATGTTGTACGACGAGTGACCAGCGGGGGGTCGGTGTTGGGGCCGTTCATGTGGTTGCGAGGTTTCAGACTTACTTACTGTAGTTTGACTGATGTTCAATCTTTGTGTTTATTTTGTCCAGATAGTTTCAGCTACAGAGTTTCCCCAACTGGTTTGTGCTTTAGACACATTTGCTTTAACTTTAAAGGGTGAGATAGGGGTCAATCCAAGCAAATTCGGTGCACGCCTGCCAGCGCTGAGGTACGTGAGAATTGATTACCCTACCGACATGGTACCTGGGTCCTGGCAGCAGTCGTCCAGGAACTCCAAGCTACAAGGTGCTCTGGGGCTTGGTGGACTCAGAGTACCTTACAGATGGTTTTTTTCGGCCTACGCCCAAGGAACTACTGTATTTTGAGGTTGTGAGGGCCTTTGGTGGGAGAAGTGTTCCAAGATCACCAAGCAGCTGACGTGCCTGTGAGGCTCCATTCTGGAAACTGAACTTCAGCCTGGGGCCCGGAACTCCCCCAGGTGTTCCGTCCAAGGATTTTGCAGTTGCCAGGCAGAGGAAAGAAACATGACAAAACCACTCAACAATCATCCAATCATCCAATCATCCAATCATCCAATCATCCAATCATCCAATCATCCAATCATCCATTTGGTCTTTCTTTTTGAATTCGATTTTTCATCGATTTTCGGATTTGCTGGGAATTTTGCTCAACAGATGGTATCCATTGGTATCCAACATCGGTCCCAGAACCAATTTGCCACTTGGCTAAGGCGAGAGGATGGGACCTGGGTCCAGGCCGGATGGGTCGCAGCTAAGTGGGTCTTGAATTTTAGATCATGGTCATGCATGAATTTATAGTATATTTGTAATTATAGATGTAGACATCATCAGTAACATATACATATAATATTATATATAATATATATATAATATAATATAATATAATATAATATAATATAATATAATATAATATAATATATGTATATATCATATGTATCACTGTTGGACTAAATGTAAACCCCGGGAGCCCGGCTGACCCTTGGAAAGACTTATGGCCTTTTTTCAACATCCCGACAGACGATCACCAGCGTGCTGCATTGGCACTTCTTGGAGAACATCGATGGGACCTTCTACATCCAACGAGCACCCTGTGCTTCTTTGGGGGTCCTGAAGCCCAGCGGTCTGGGGTCTGGGGAAAGCTTCGGAAAGCTTCCAGTTTTGATCGTTTTGATCCCCGAGAACCAGCTCTACCAAGGTCTGTGTCTATAGCTACGTCTTGAAGCTGGATGCCAAGGATCTCTATTGTACTAGGGCAGTTGCTTGGCTGAGACGGCACTTCTGCCACTGATATATCACATGCTACAGTGTTAATTTGATATTGAATGTGCTGTTTCATTAAATCTGGTTATGACCGAGATACACATCCATTTTTAGTTCAGCCCTTTCATACTGCAGTGTGTTTGGGAATCAAACGCACCCAAGGGAACCAGTGTCACCAGCGCTCGGCTTAGGTTTGCGATCCCATCAAAGATCGTGACCAATGCTGCGACCGCGTGCGGGAGCCAGAAAGGGGAGTTGTTGCCATGGCAAGACATCCCATTTCCTCACTTCAAGGTTGTGTTTCGCCTACCATATTGCCATACATGTTGGTTTGCAGTCAGATCAAAGTGGATGAATGATTGAAAGGATTTTTCAATCTGGATCCACTATGCTCCACTCATTTCTGGTCAGTTTCAAGCTTCAGAATCACATTTCATCCTCTTCCCAGCTCCAGTTGCAGGTGGAGTCATGCGCAGCCATGACCAGCTGCGATCGGTCGCAAAGCTTGGTGCCAGATTTGCCGCTTGGGCTCAGATCCTCAGGTACTGGAGGATTTCACCGAAAAAACGAAGATATTTTTGCGACAGTGGAAGGGTAGATTGTTAATCGTTGAGACATATTTCAAGCCATATTTAAGGTATTTCTTTGCTTAATATTTCACAATCACATATTTTGATTTGGTTCAAAATTGCAACAAGAGAGATGTTTTCGATGGGAAAGGTGCAGATTTTTGTTCGTATTGCAGTTAAACCAGATATGATATAACTGGGTTAGCAGATATGTAGAATCAATTATCGGACGCAAATTCATCATGATTTATTGACAAACCATTTATGACTGGTAAAGGGGACCTGGTGATTGGAAGATTTGTCACCCAATTTGTAACTGGTTTTGCGAGCACATCGCCGGGGAAAGGGAAGCCAAAGACCTAGTGGTATGGTGGGGATCCAGCGAATGGCGCAAGCGTGCGCAAGCCATCCCACCATGACTGGGGATCATAAACTACATCCTATCCTATGGACTATTCCTAGTGTAGCTATTGGAGTTTGCTATCACATGTAAATTCCTATCATTGCTGCAACACCACTTCACAACCCCTTTTTTTTGAGGTTTTAGCAGTTTAGCTCATGAAGTCCACTGGCTCCTACTTCCAGGAATGGCTGGTGTCGAGACAGGGCCTGCGATCAAATCTTGGACCAGGCGAGGGCAAGGATAGGCAGCGTTGGTCAGTCAATAATTTGATTTTTCCATCCACGATGATTTTCAAAAACACCAAATAAAATACTTTTCTCTTGCCCCCGGCTGATTCTGGCTGATTGTTGCCATTCTTGTAGTTATCCCCTTGTCTTTTGCTGAGCCACCGCCACACCTGTTCAACAAGGATATCTGCTGCGTTCCAGCTGCTTTCTGCGATGGCATGCAGTGTCTGTGCCATGGCCAAATGGTCAGGTTTCTCTGAAAGTGTGGTCTTATGAAGGTTCTTGGTCTGGGTTTGTTCAGCTGGGTTGGCTTTGCATGATCCCAGTCCGTGCACACATATTAGATCTGAAATTCGCAATACTGTATGGTTCTTCGACCAAAAACGAGAGTTGACCATGAAGCGACGAAAACACAGTCACTTTGGGTTATATCTTTCAATTACAACAGCATCCGGGATCCCTTCTCCGCAGAAACATCCAGTAACCCACCATTTTTTCGGGGCTGAGGCCTGGATATGTCTTGAAGCTGAATGCCCATGAGATCCAATGCCCTCAGAGCATGTGCTTCCCCGAGGGTGATCGCTCCTCGGCTGGGACAGTTCCCCCAGAAGCGTCCCCGGCGTCACCGGTGTCCGGAGCGGACCATGCCCAGGTGATCTGTGCTGCGAGCAGCAAGGAGTCTGTTCGGATCTGCCATACAGCAGCGCGGATTGTGGAGCTGCCATCTTTTGCGACAGCCAAAATGGGACAAGGATCTTGGATAATCTTGGACTGACTCGGACTTTTTTGAAGGTCAGGATCTTTCTGAGTGTGTTTTGCATGTCAGAATCAGATGCATGTTGACCGACTCACAACGCTGTGGCCAGGTCCTGTTGGCAAATGGTTCAACTCCGACTCATTGTGTGCGCAGAGACAGTGCAGCTCGGCCTGGAGGTGGAGAATCGGACAGGCATGGCTTTATGGATCTTTATGGTGCATAGTTGCTGCCAATACAGCCAAAAGATCATCAAATTGAGACCTTTGCAGACTAGTTTCGGTGTACACCTGGACTTCACTTATTTTGAATAATCATGAATAATCATTGATTCATGTTGGTACATATTGTAAGTAACCATGTAGTAATTCATGTTGATTTCATGTTTATTCCATCCAGATGGCTACGACCTCCCCAACTTGGCCCAGGTAACAATGTCACCGATCTCGGGACCGCAGGGACAGGGTTGCATCAGGGATATCTTCAGGAAGCTTCAGAAAGGTGAACTGCTGAAACAGCACACAGATGTACACAGATACTGTAGATACTGTACTACACGATGTAAAGACAGAAGGCAACCTTTTGGTTCCCGTCGATTCTCGCAGATTGGTCATCCGCCGCTGAAGGATTTGTTGTCAACCAGCGATGCGCTGCGATTTGGGGCTCAACTGTTCTCATGGCTTCTGGACTGCCATAGTTGCTATCAGCTTTGGTTGGAGTACAGGTAGGGGAATGGACATGAATAGACTCATTGAACGGACTTTGATTGGATTGTAGATCGATCATGATCGCTATTGCTGCAAATACCAGAGTAATTGACTATGATTGCTAGGGATGTCAGAGGTTCAATCTATTTTGGGAAAGTGCGGAGCCCGTGACGTCGTTGGCATTTTGCACCTGTCGAAGCAGCGCTTCAGCAGAGGTTTTGTCCCGAAGGCGGACTACGAGCAGATCTACTGCTTGGCACCAGCCTCTCAGTTCTTCACTGGGCAACCAGTTTTGTTGCAAGTCTTGTGCGGGTTGGACGGTTGGACTCCCAGTGTTATGCCAAGCGATTGCATAGAGGGCCGGTATGGTCTAGTGGATAAGACGTATCCCTCATGCGTCAGACCCGGATTCAATACCCGGGTGCAACACTAGGCGGACAGGCGGGCCACTACCCGACCCCTGCAGTTAAGGGGATGAGCTAGGGTGGGGTCCGTAAGGCATTCACAGATTGCATAGGATGATATTGTCTTATTGTGTGGCAGGGCATCAGGGTTGACATCCCTTCCATCCTCCAATCATTGGAACATCCCAAGGAGTGCAGCGAGACAGATCACTTGTTGGTCTGTTGCGATGCGGCCGCGCCATGCTCCGACATCAACTGCGGCCACGGCTACTATCAGTTGAGACCCTCGATGGTAATGGCGCTGTGTCGTGATCTTGATCCAGGTTTCATCTCTTGTTCGGAATCAAAGGGCTAAAAATGTGCATTTGGCAAGCAGAGTTTTTCAACTTAGAAGGGGTAAGACCTACCAAAATAATCCAAAATACCAATATCTCTCGGCTTGACATTGCGTGACTTCGGGTTATCACCCCTAGCACTTCCAGGAGCAGGCAACCTGCTCCGGTTTTCTCATGTGCCGAGGTGACACCTACTGCGGGAGCAGCTTCCCAGCATTCTTTGTGGGCAGGGGGCCAGTCAGTGGTGGATGACTAAGAGGTCCCCCAAGCCTATTCTGTTCATTCTTGGGAAAACTACCCCAAACCAGGTTGAATCCACCACTTGAATGTGCTCAAGATGCCCCAGGCACCGAGTGCAACGTCACGGAGGATTTCAGCCATTGCGCCTCGGTAACGTTGATCATTGAAGTTGGCTTCGTGTGATCCTGGGATATCCCAAGAATCGAGATTCCCAGATTCCCAGATCTATTGTTTTCTCTTTTTTAAAAATTGTTAAGCATTTACCAAAGAGGTGATGTTTGCGGAGGAAACCGGCGATTTCACCAGCAAAACAAGGGGACGGAATGGGACTGCAGCAATGTTCCTTAGGCTGCTTACGCTCCGCTGAGTGCTCTACCTTGCAGGCCGTTTGTCGCTGCTGGTTGAGAGGGTGTTAAATCAAACTGGTACCCCAAAAAACTCCAAAGAGGGGCTGGCAAGGTCTGAGTGGCCTAAAGTTTGAGACAAAACCTTTCAAACTTTTGGACTGTCAAACTTCAGATGGATTGAAACTAAAAGGTTCCAGTCCACCTGGTGGGGTGGAATCCCATATCAAATCATCAGCTCAGGACCAAAGTTGTCCGTATGGTGACTTGACCTGCATCTGGTGTCCCAATTTTGACCAATAGGCTGCCGCAGTTGGGGGTTGTGAAGTTGGGATACATATATAAGTTGAACACATTATATATATATAATTATATATATATATATACATATGTATACATATCTGGTGAATACATATATATATATATATACACATATAGATGGACGCAACAGTGAGTACAACTCACCCAATTGGTGTGGGTAAACAAAAAATCAATCCAATGTCAATCCATTTAACAAACCTTTGGGTATGGGGTCAAAGTTCAAGTTCCGACAATCTACAGATTCGGGTCATTAGGGTCAGCCAGTACGAGCCATCCAGTTCCTGCAGGCACCAAACTCTGAATCCATAGAAATAGCATCCCACGCAAAAGAGTTGAGGGTTTCCCTTAAGCAAAAGGAAACAAACAGTACAAATTCTCGTAATTTCCCATTAATTAGTGTTGATACAATCAATCTTTGACAGTCTAGCGTATATATATATATACATCATCATATTATGTAAGCATAAAAGCCAGAGCCAAGCCAGTGACTCCCGTGCTTATTTCGAGGTTATTGGTTCGACCATGATGAGCGCTGTTTGCGAGACCCCTGCGACAGCAACGACCGTTCAACAGCCCTCAACCTGTGCTGTAAGCCTTCGGAACCGTGCTCGTCACTGACGTGTTTGCATGGTGCGGCTCTCAAAGAAAGGGCATTTGAGGAACCAAGGAATGGATTGGTCGCCGGTCATTCAAGAAAACTGAAATCATCCATTTTTTCTGAGGTCAACCATTTTTGGCGATTGCCATTTCAAAATTTCATTGCCATTCCATTTGATGGAGGTAGAAACCGCCAAGGATTTGTATACAAGACGACCTACCTATCTTTGACGTGTTTGTTGGACGAGTGCAGCTTGGCCGACTTTGGACACCCGGGTGAGATGCCATTGGGTCCAAGTTGGAAACCTGTGACAGCTATAGCATGGTTGTGATGTTCACCATTAGACTGCAGGATGATGTCACCCAAACCTGAAAATCTTGGGTCGATGATGTCACCCAGAACCTGAGAATCTTGGGTCCCCCCCCAAATTTGAACAGCAAATTTCAAAGCGACCAACATCTACGTTGGGAGGACAGTTGGAGCATCTTGGACCCCCAAGCGTGGCATTTCCGGTTGTGAAGCAGGTAACATGACCACCGACCTGGGTCGATGCTGCGATGTGGCGGCTCACTGTGATACCTTGAGCTGCGGACATGGCTTCACGCCGGTGGGGGCCTCAGTGTTTCAACACGCTACCAATCAGCTGATCAACAGCAAAAAATGCTTGGTTATCCCAGTTATCCCAGTTATCTCAATTAAAAATATCCCCATGATGCTTGGTTAATCCACTAATATACCATCATGGGATGGTTGGTGAACCCCCCCAATATTGTTCAATAAATCCTGAATGGATGTGACGATGGGTCAATAAATCCTGGCCTGGGAGCCCGCCCCGGAGGATCCCTTGGCCAACGACACCTACTGCCCTGCCACTTCATGTGGCTTGACGGAACCATCGGTGGTGGTGACAAGTGATCTGAGATGATGACATACACAGTACTGGGAACATGGAAACACCCTTGATACTGGCATATCAATCAGTATCCATACATCATATGGTTATAATGATGTATGGATATAAGAAGGATAGTGATGATAACAAAGAAAACATGGATATACTGGGTTCTAATGATTTACACAGATGCGGCGATGGGTCAACTTGAATGAACTTTGCAAATCTGATGATGGACAGGTTTTGATCCCATAGACCAAGCCTTGATATAGGCCGAGGGTACCAGCGGTATGTTACCGCAGCCACTAGAAGCTGGGATATTCACATTGCAGGAAAGGCATGCCGCAATTGAAACAAGCACAGAAGTTGGCAGGTAGCACATTCCATGTCCCACACTGGGAATGTTGGTGAGGTGACATCAACCGCGATCGCGATCTCTGTTGCGAAGCTGCACCCGAGAGCCTTGACGGAAATTATTCACTGCTACCCTTGTTTTCACTTCAAAATCCCATTTCCCGGTGAAATAGCTGGTTTGCCATAGAATCCCCAGCTGCTTTGCATCTCCACTCAGATGTGCGGTTGCCTTCACCTGCCCTCATGGCTACACCTCTTGGCCTGACACCTATTGCGATGGCGTGGTCTGCGACGACACACGGGATGCCTGGTGAAAACGTGGGGCCGAGAAGAGTAAGCTGAAAAGTGTGCTGCAGCCCACAAGAAGGGTATTTGAAGATCCGTACTTTTGTGATAGCATGAAATGGGCATCGCACAAGAAATTTGCTACGTAGTTGTCACATCTGCCAAAGCAGCAATGCAATATCATCGTAGAACGTGACAGGGAATGGCGAAAACATACAGACTTTGTTGCTTAGAAACAGATCTCCAAGGGTCTTCATTGGATGTCCATAGATGTCGAACATCGAGGACCGGGACATTTGCTGTCGCCCGGCCATGCCATGCACGGTGCCTGGGCAAATTGCATCACAGTTGACCTGTTAAGGGATGTGAAACCATAGCTGTGCATAAAGCTTTCCATGGCGGTTCAACATCTGTTTGGGCCCTTGACACGGCAATGAAAAGAGCTTGGCAATTTCTGAGGCAGTGGCGTGTCCAACCAACTACGATCCTCAGCGCATCATAGCACGTCGCCGCGGCGATGGGAAGAGATTTCTATTTAGATTATGTAGGAGGAAAGGATGGGACAAAGATGTTGTGTAATCGATGTTTATATAAACTTTAAAAAATGATGACAGCTACAAATATTTGGGCTTATTATTGATGCTGGTTGCCACTTTCCTCCCGATTTTTAGGTGAGCTTATGGCCATCCATCCATCAACCAACCAACCAACCAACAAATCAAGAGTTCCATACCGACTTGGTGGAGATTCTCTTTCCTGAATCAATACCCCGCATCATCCATGTATTCGAACTACTAGTAAGTATAGTAGTATCTAATAGTAGTATATATAACCATATCTAATGTATCAAATATACTTTCCAACATATTTATCCCATCATCCAATATGTAGGTACTCAGAGTGATGCCCAGACCCTGAGGTCACAAGGTTTGACACGTACTGTAGAGGTGCCTTGACCGACGCCTTTCAGAGGGGCTTGGAAGATTTGTTTCCCCTGAAAGTTGGATCAGTTGGCTATTTTCAGGATCAGTTTGTAAAGGTAAAGATCTGCGTGGAAGGGGTTCCGTAGCTTCAGAAGTTGGGTCCCTTCATCTCTGGTTTTTTTCAACCTGTTGGCATCAAGTTGGCATCGTTTTTGAAACCATTTTGCTTGCTTCTCGTGTTAAGTAAACAACTATGTCGCTCTTTATCTATACTCATCAACTGGATTACACTTTTTATACAGTTGCATCCACCTTAAAAGGTCTATACGCAACAGATTGAACCCTTGGAGATTCAGATCTTTGCGGTCCTCAGGCGTCACCTGCGAGATCGTGCGAGATCTGGACTGGTGCTGCGAGCGCGGAATGGCTGCTTGGCACCTGATGGCACAAAGCCACCTGATGGATTCCCGCTGGGACCGGGGGAATCTAGAGCGCGGCCGAGACCTTTAAAAGGGCAGTCTCTGAATGAGAGAGCCATGATGCTGAGATGATGGCAGTGGAGTTTTGGACTTCGAGATTCCTTAACCATCCGTAACCAGCTTCCCTTGGCTCGGCAACCAGATGCATGTCGCGATTCTGGATTCATCCCAGCTAGGCCATGGTTGGCCTGAGCCAAGATTTCATCCCCAACGAGGAGAATTTCCTACCATGATCATGACCGTCCGACCATCCTGTGGGAGATTGGCACCCCAATTGACTTGGGCCAAGGCTTTGATGTACTACAGGTTCCTTCCAACAGATTTGCGCCTTGCGGGCTATACTGCCGCTTGGCAGGTGGTTCCAGGTGGTTCCAGGTGGTTCCGGTGACCATGTGTTGGACGAGCCAACAGCTTGTCACGTTGCCAGCTGCGCCTGAGGTAGTGCAGATGTCTGACTTCTACCTCTATAATCAGCAGATAGTGGTGGAGGGCTTTGATCAAGCGACTCTTGGCTGCGCTTGGAGCGAATATTTAAGATGTAGAGCCGAGCTTTTATCAGACTTGTGGCAAGTTTTGGTTCCTTGAATATCCTTTGGGTATCAGAAATCCATAGAAATCCGGGTATTTGGGATTTCAGAAATACCCAATTCTGAGCATTCTGAGATTGCTGACTCTGTCAGATCTGTCAGAGATCGGGATCTGAGGATTTTCTACTGCGACCCTTGTGATACTCCGGTGAATGGCCGAGAGGATCCAGTGAATCTGGGAGATGGAAACTCCGAAACCAAATGGCTGGACTACAGCCGCAATGGTTTCTATGTGAAGCAGCTTGGACCTGGAAAAAGGTACTGTTTCTGAAGCCAAATGTCATTTCTTTGTGGAGTGAGATTCAGTGAGATAACCAGGGATAACCCAAAATATGAGAGGTTTGATGTGGAACATGGTGATTTTTCACATCAAATTTGGAGGTCAAAGCCAGATACCGTAGATACCTGAGATTGAGGTTTCCTGGGAAACGCCAATTGCATCCAATTGCAGAAAAAGCCATGATCCAGATAATGATGCATGATAAACTCAACAAGCCCAGTTTGTTCAGTGATGATTGGGATATACCACTTTTTGGGATGGACATCAATGGTCGGGATCGCAGCCCCAAAAAGAGAAGCGACATCCTATTGAAATGTCTGAAGATTACATTACTTTTCTATTTGTTCAACATATCTCAATGTATGTTATGATTATATATTGTTATTTGTTGTTATTTGATGGTATTGTTACTATATTTGTTATTATTCATTACTATTATCATTCCATACTATGACTACCATTATCACTACATGTTACCATTGTTTGTTATGATTATTACTATATTACTACATTATCATACTATTACTACCATTATACTATTATAAATTACCATAGTTATCATTGTTTCATACATTTTTGGACACCGCCATGTCATTCTTGGATGAGCCAAGGCTTCCTGCTGCGCAGCCCATCTTCAGTTCCTTGGCGATATCAAAAACCATAGAGAAAGTCACAGTCATTGATTTGGTGATAATATATATATATGTATAATATCATATAATATATCATACATGTATGTATATATATAATATATATAAATACATATATATATATATACACATATGTATGGATGTTTAATGGCTGCTTAATGGATGGTTAATGGATGTTAATGACTTTTTTCTCATTGTGGGCAAGCCATTGCCACAGCCTTCCATTTGGGAATGGTTTCTACGACCCATAAAAATGGTGATTCTGGGGATGGTGTATAATTGGGTTTACCACACTATTATTATTATTGTTGTTAATATTATTCTATATATAGATATATACACATAGTCCCACAAAAAGGACATAATGATATTTTTATTAGGAACTGATCATTTAGTTGCTGTAAATACCATGTTTGGAGGGGATAGACATCCATAACCCCAGCAATTTTGGTGTGGACAGCAGCAGGGGTACAGGGTTGCACCAGCTAGACCCAAGTCACTCCACCTCAGTTTTTATTCACTGACCATGGGACTCAAGTTGTATATTTTTATTGGTTGCAACCACAGTGCAGTCCAATTCATCCTTCTCAACGATGAATGGATCATCATTTTTAAACCACATTTTCGTCTATTTCCATTACTCTTCAAAGAGGCTAGATCATGAAATCCATTTGCATGCGCTCATATTTTCATCAATTATTTCATCCATGTTCATGTCTTTTCATTCGCCTTCATCCGGTTGGGTAGTTGGGTTTGTCTGGAAATTGGGTAGATGCCCCAAATCCTGTTTTTTTTTATCACTATTTTCATCCTCAAACTGCTATTTTATGGGTATCCCCATTTTCAGGCACACGCACATATCATATCAAGTTGGTTACATATCCCAGTAAATATCCACATAGCTGGTTTATATCCCCATTTTAGTAACTTTCGTATATCCCATTTACATAAATTACATCATGTATATATATATACATACATACATATGTATATACATATATATATATGTATATAAATGTATATATATATATATCCCCATTGGAGTTGGTTGATATCCCCAATCCAAATCTCAGGCTACAGCTTCATTACGGGCAACGACGAAGCGATCCGCGACCCAATCCTGTGGCAGCTCTGGGGTTCGCCCAACGACGTGGACTGGGTCACTGGACTTCACGAATTTCACCAAAATGGTTGTGGTTCAACAAGCAACACATGGTATATAAATGGTATAAAAATGGTATAATACATGATAGATGGTATATAAATGGTCTATTTGTTCACCAAAATGGTATCAAAAACCACAATAATTATATCTACACACCAAAGAGTACTTAGCCATCAAACAATAGTTATGGTAGTTATAATAGTAGTTATATCAACCACAATAGTTATACCATTATGAAATTGTACTTAACCAGACTTAACATAGGTTTTTGACCAGCCAACATAGTGATTTCATCAGTTGTTTGGGCAGCTTTAAACCCATCGATATCTACAGTAAAAGACTGGAGTTATTACTTGATTTACATCGGTTTACATATTCGGTGAACCCATGCTTGTCCTCCAAAACCTGAACCCTTTGCTCCCTGATTTTCGTCCATATATATATACATACACATACCTAATTTATTTATTTATTTACTTGTATATACATACATATCATACACTAACATATATACAGGAAAAAAAATACCAATCCAAGTGTCAGGGATATTTCCATATATTAGACCTACATTTAACGAAAAACGCTTGCCAACTCCCCTGCTTTCTCGGTTGCAGGTGATCCTCCACGAGATCACGGACCGCACACTGGGTGAGTCCATCGTCCCTACAGCGCGCGCCACGAGCACCTTGCAGGTCTCGATCGAGGTGCCGTGCTTCGCGCCCACGGCGTCGCACATCGACAACGCGGCAGCTGGGTGGTGACGTGGGGAATGGGAATGGGATGGGGGAATTGTACTATAAAAAAAACATTAAAAAACCCTAGACCATGACTAAAGTTCATGGGATTGGGAAACAACATGATTATAACGAAAATTTTATGGTCGTCATATGAATTAGCAATATAATAATAGTTATATTTATATTAATATTGTAATATTTTGTAATAGTCATAATGACAATTTTAGTTAATCACAGTAGCAGTAATAGTAGTAGATAGACGATACGAAAACATGCTAATAGTAGTGATGATCATAGTCATGAATTCATAATCGCAATCATCCCATGATTGTTGGAGATTGCCAAGATAATTGGGATGTTGTGTCACATGTATGTGCATATGAATAATATATAGTATATATATATATGCATGCACATCTATGATATGTGTATCCACGATGCGCACTGTCGCACAGTTTTTCCACAAAACAAAACCCCAAATCCAAGCCACTCACTGGCCATTTTGTTCACGGTTTGGTTGTGCAAGTTATACACCGCTGAATTTGGACACATAGAATCCAACAAACAGCCATTTCTCTTCGCAAAGAGCGCAGATCGAGGCGAATGTCACCTGCGAGGAGGGTGATCTCCTTCGGCACAACACGAATTGCACGCCCGTTTGCCAGGCAGGGTGGCTGCTTTCCATGGATAATTTTGCGCTGGTTGATAGTTCATAGCTACATATATATATATATATATTATTAATTTATTATTATATATATTATGTATATACCCATACATACGTACGTACGTACGTACATACATAGATACATAGATAGATAGATAGATCTATCTATCTATCTATTTATCTATCTATCTATCCATCTAATCTAATCTCATCTCTAATCAATCTCTAATCTAATCTATCTATCTATCTATGGATATAGAAACGTGATGCAGTAATGTAGATGTCTAAGAATCAATTGAATTCATCCAGATTGTTTCTGTTTCATTGTGATGCTGGCTCGAGGGGGTATGCTTTCAAAGCAGGAACACACAACTGTGGGAGAAACGTTTTCCAATTTCGCTCGTGTCACCATTCGCTTCGGTCACAACGACCCTGAACAAGTTGCGATTCCTGCGATGGGTATCCAAGTTACACCCTGAGTCCCCAGATGTGCTGGTGATCTCCCAAAATTTGATAAGCATTTTAAGTGGGGCATGGGTAGCTCCGCCCAATTTCTGCCCAGGACGGCTTTACTCCCAACATCGATGCCATTCTGTGCCAGGACTGGTTCTTTGCGCAGGTAATTTTGACCCAGACTCAAAAAGATCAACTTCCCTGCAAGAAACTTAAATGATGGCCAAAAACGAAATCTATGTAGGCATTCAGTACATTTGGAACAAGAAAGAGCGATGCTCAAGGTGCAACATGTTTAATGAAGTCTTTGCAGAAAGTCATTTTTATCAGCTTTCAGTTGTTTTTTAGTTTCGAGCGTTCTGTGGCAAAGGTGGCGTACAGTATGGGATTTGGCTGGGTGCCCTTTGAGGGTATGTTTGCGCGATTGATGTTGTTGAATCTGTTTGGGACATTTTAGAGCGTTTTGACAGTCAATCATGACTCGCCAAAGATATTTTTCGTGTGAGATTCCATGAAATTTTCAATTAGCTTTGGCCATTTGTATCCTGTTTTCCTTTTATTTGATGGCTCCAACTGCTTGAAATTTCTGGCTTCGCCCCGCCAGAATGGTGAGTTAACTCCCGACATCTTCAGCTGTGCCTGAGCCCCGTGCCAACCGGCGCTGTGGCCAAAGGTTGAGGCACCCGTTAACGTTTCATGTCGGTGTCAACATCTGATGCAGATGTGTTGTTTTGTGAAGGCCCTGAAGATGATGGCTTTGGCTATGCCTACGATTTTTTCATATTTTTTTAAAAATACTAGTCACATCCCTGCCTTCACCGGTGAATATCCCTAGCTATACCGTATACCGCCGTATATACAGTCCTGAGGGCAAATTTCAATTTGAACTTGTGTATAGGATCTGTTTGGCTTACGTGAACGTCAGCATCGGCCTGACACCCCGCGATGCGCGCGCGCGCGCGCGTCACAAAGGCGGTGTGGCGACAGGCGCCCGTGCCCCTGACTGCGCGCCGCGAGCGAAAACATGCGCGGCGGTTGATATGATGGATATGGATATGGGGTCAAAAATTAAAGTTGAAGATGGGCAAAATAATCCATAAAAAATGGGGCCCTAAAAATAGGTCAACATAATGGGATGATTTTTGGCGATTTTTGGGATGGACCCCCCAGTTGAAGCCCCATTTTCAGCCACCTGAGGTGGGGCTTTGTGACCATGGCGGATCAAAGCCAAGCGCAAAGCGCGCTCACGGTGGCTCGCCTGGTACGGGTGGTAAATATCACCGGGGTAGAGAAGAAATCTGATATACAAGGGGAATATGGTGGAGTATCACCAGAACAAATGGAATTTTCGATGCTTTAGGGTAGGAGCCTCCATCTTGGACCAACCCATGAAAAGCTCCAGCAATGGGGGTTCTCCAACGAGTGACACCTCACCTGCCAAAGGGCACGGTCCCCACAAGGAATTGAACGGCAAGATGCTCCAAGTGGCGCCCCCTGCGGAGGCGCACCCATTAGATGGGTAGCGTTCTACTGGATGGTAAAACCATGCCAAAACTATGATTTGCCATACAGTATTGCAGGGTGACATCCATAAAGACCATACAGTTTCCTTGGGTTTTGATCCATAGCCATGTGGGCCATGTACCAAGCATCTCTGAAAACCTGTGGCTTGGGAATGCTTGTCAGGCTCAGATGCCTGCAGCAGGCCATTGGCTGGAGAGCTGTGAGGATTTAGAGGGTTTAATCGGGAATAGGATTTGGTTAGGCTCCCCAAAGCTAGCAATTCAATGGCTTACCTAACAGTTAGTCCTACTAAATCAAAAAAGACATTGGTGAGCCAAATAAATCTAGAATATTAGCCAAATGGAAACTGAAGAAAAACTCATAGCCCAACGCGGGTACCTCCGGGTACCTCAACTCGTTGAGTTTAGGGATGTTCGGGGCTCAGCCGTGGCAAAGCTGCTGCAGGTGGAGACATGCAGATGAATCAGATGAATGGCGCCCGGCTTCCGAGTGAAAGTTTGATCACATCCTGTGGCACCCATAGACCTGGGTTTGTCTGAGAATGGGATACACACCCTGCACAACAGCCATTTTAATGGGACATTGATGATAAATCAGTGGATTTCGGAATATCATATTTTCGGACAAACTCATGCGCAAATGACGAATCAATTTCGCCCTGGCGCCTCGAGAAGAAGGCTTCAGGGAAGTTGTTCAGAATTTTCCTTGGTGGCAATTGACCTGGGATCCAGTTTCCACATGTTTCCACAAGAAACACCCCCAAACTTGGTGATCTAATCCTACTATGTTCGTTGTTGGTGATACTCCCATCATCTCCATCTCCTCCTGCGTTTCAGGCCTGGGACGCGGGCGCCGGCGCCGGCGCCTGTGGCGCCTGCGGCGGCAGCGGCTGCGGCGGCTGCGGCGGCACCAACTGGGGCTACGAGGAGCCGCCCGCCATGGCGGGCGTGGCGCCGCCTGAGGTGCCGGCCATGGCCGGGGTGGCGCCCGTGGCGGTGATGGGCCAAGCACAGCAGGTTGGGGATGGGGGGTTCGGGGATGGGGAGGGATGGGATGGAGGGATGAAACCAGGAGAATTTTGAGCATTTTATCAATTCAAAGTTTTGTGGGTCAGGAAATCAAGGAAGAGATGAAGGATGCGGAATATGACTGCAACAAATGTGGAGAGAATTCCACCCGGCCGTTGCAATTTGGCACCCAGGCGCCGGACATGACTCCAGCGCCGCACGAGCAGGTGCCAGCGAAACATTCGGGGGTAGTGCTTTCATTTTGTGTTTACACAAAATACACACATGTTTCAGGATTTGAATAATGCCCTCTGGTGATTTAACATCGAACATCCTCAATTTCAGAAATTAAGTAAATCATCCATGTTGTTTTTTCTTCTATCCCTACAGATTTCTTGAGGCCGTGCCCATGGCAGCACCTGCTGCGCAGCTTCTGGGGAACATTCCGGGGATTAACCATCAATACTGGGATATATAGTGGGAATATGACGATGAACATATCGTTCATATGGAGATAGTCATAATCCTGTCCATCTAACATCAATCACCACCCTGGACATCGTGTTTCAGTGTTGGATCTTTTCATTTTGGGGCCCACAATGGCGGTTACTTCATAGGATGAGATGATGAATGATCCACGAATCCACTATGTCACTATGATGATCCATGATGATCCATCATGAATGATGAGGATTTTGTTCGTGGATAGCGATGTTTGAGACCATTTTGGTTGAGTATTTTATCATATCAACTGTGAAGCATCATTTGGGTATGATGGAAAGATTTGATGATCCATGATGATTGGATCTGGTTGGATGATTTTGGGATTCCAAGAAGGGACGGTTTAATAATGGATTATTCAATCCAAATATGGTTGACATATTTGGATCACCCCACATGATGGTTTGTTTTAGACTAAATATGACACCAAATTGAGTGGATGCATTGATGCCTCACAAACTTGAGCTAGATGTATATGGCTCATGAGGTGCCATCGCAGCCGCCCCAGCTTGACCAGCAGGCCCGCAAGCGCTTTGCTTCTCATCACCCTGAATTGATTTCTTTTCCAGAATCTGGGTCATTATATTTGCAGTATATAAATTCACACATAGATATACCAGAACATAATGGTATATTATATAATGGTATATAAATCTGGTATATAATGGTACATAGATATGGAAAAACCATCATTTGCATATCCTTTGCCTTGGTTTCAACGGCCAGGTCCCGGCATCCGAAACTCCAGCAGAAGCCCCGGCAGTGAAAGGCTCAGGATGTTGCACCGTTGCACCTGAGCGGATCGGCTGGTCATTTTGAGCTCGAAGATACATCGGTTGTTGCCCAAATCCACCAGTTTGATGATTTGGTTGATTCAATTCAATTCATATCTGATTTTATTGGTCTAGTTGTAGCCCAACTGTTAGGTGTTGATCCAACTTTGGAGTTGTAGGATATATCTGACAATATCTGAATATGTGGAAAAATACACCTTCGGATTCTCCGAAGTTTGTTGGTCGTAGCCATCCCATTCTGGTCCTGGTGAGGCTGCACCCCCCGCAGCTGAGCCGGCTCCCGCCGCGGCTCCCGCCGCGCCGGCCGCGGAGCCAGCTGCGCCTGCGGAGGTTGGAATGGGTGGCCTTAAGGCCACTACAAAATGGGTGGCTCCAACCCCACCCCCCTAATTGGAAGGGGGATCTTTTGGGGAAGTTACTGTATAGGAGATGTCCCGGAATAAAGTTGAAGTTTTTTTTTGGAAGCTTACTGTTGGAGAATCCGCCAAGAAAATCGAACAACTCTGGAGGGAAACTGATGGTTATAGGGAACAAAATGGTTTGGGGCCCATCCGCCATGTCCACGTCAGATCACGTCAGGCTCCTGCAGTTCCAGCTCCCACAGGACCTGATACGCGGGCGTTGAGTTGTGAAAGTCAATTGGCTGCGATTCGCTGCACTCGCTGTGAAATTTGGACAGGATGATGGAAAAGCCTCAGGGGTGTCGTGGCTGCCAGGAGCTCAGGGGTTCCCGGACAAGGAGAATTTCATTCCCTGAAGACATTGGAATATTGACATGGGTCCAAGTCAAGCCCCGCTGAGCGCCCCAACCCACAGTGACGTCACATCATGGGGTCACCTTCAACCTCCGTCCCGCATACAGTAAGCCTGTGGCGCAGGGGTGAGCGAAGAGGATTCAACAAGCCAGCCACGAAGCCTAGATCACAGTGAGGCAAACCTGAACCATCAACCGGCCATGCAATTCAGCTGGCACTGGTATGACATGGTTTGGTCAGGTCAGAACACAATATCACAGCCATCGACAGCCATTGCAGCCGCAAATATCTGGCCAAGATAGGGGCTGGATTCAAGCTTGCCTCACGATGTATGCTGTGCCGCTGAGAAGCCTGTGGTGGAAACGCCAGGTTGAAGACGCTTGTTCAGAACACTTTTCCTGTTTGAGAACGGTGGGTCCCCAGGTTTTGAATCATAAGCCCTCCAAAAAGTCAGGCCGGTTGAATCTCCTGGTACTCAGCTGCAGTTAGATTCACATCTCCATAGTAAGCTCCGAATAAGCACCTGAACATCAGCCCTTTGCACCATGGGTCTCTCGCTTGGAAGAACCGCGCCCGGGCGCGATGTAGATAGGCAGGCCGCGAGATGGCGCGGTGGGTCGGTGCTCCGACCACAGGTTCAGCAGAGACAAAAACACAATTTTGCTGGTTTTGGTGGGTTGAAGGGCCAACACACACAGCGGGGCATGCTGTACATAGCACAATCATCATCAGATATCATCATGTATAAGTCCATATCCGCCCAATAGATTGCATAGGGATGAGGATCTAGCCAAACAAGGGCAATGTTTTTTATTGTTCTCAAGCATTGTTTGGCCCAGATTGACTTAGCTGAGTGCAGAGCGTTGCTAAGAGTGACTTGACTCCAAGCCATGAACGTGATCCCATGGCAGAGCATCTAGAGTATGCTTCTGCTTCTGCATAAAGTTCAAACCTGTACCATAATCATGTGTGACTTTATTCCTGGAGACTTACCAACTAAGATTTCATATAGAATCCGAAAAATTGAGCCCGCAGAATGATTATCCTATTGGATTTGGCAATGATTGGGTTCCATGTCGCAGCCAACGCAGGTGAGCAGCAAGGGTCGAAATCTTTCAGCGAACGGAGCAGTCCGAGGGCTTGGAAGACGTGGAAAGTCAATGGCCTACAATTGGTTTGGTGATTTGAGCCATGGCAGATATAGCAGAGCTTAAAACTTGAAACCAACCCATATTTGGGGGATATTGTTTTTTTTTTTTTTTTTCGGAAGACCGATAGTTGGTGACGGATCCCTTGATTTTCGGTTGATACAACATCTTGAGATGGAGGTAGAATATGGCAGAACAAAGAATACTTAATAAGCTTTTTTTTTGGTGTTTTCGGTTTCATTTCTGAGGATTTGAAGAAATTCTGGTGGTTTTTTTCATGATCAAACATGATCAGTATATCATATATATCCTCTAATCAATAAACATGATCAGTATATCCTCTAATCAGTATATCCTCTAATTAATCAGTATATCCTGTAATGATCAATAAACATGATCAGGCTTCTTGCTGCGAAAGGATGTCTGTGGCACGGGCAGCCCATTGTGATACCTGGCACGCCTTGGTCCAAGGTGTGCCGCTGCGGCCAACGCAGCGCGCCCGGGGCGCCCAACGTCGATTTTTGGACATTTCTAGAGCAGTTTAGATCGTCTGCCATTGATGGATCTCTATTTGATACTATTGACATCTATTGACAGTCTCATAGTCTACCAGGACTATCTATAATCTGCAGTTTAGATAGTCTGGGATTTGGAAATTTCCAGATCCTGAGTCCAAATTGACCAAACTGAAGTACCAACCTGATTTGTTCACTGTTTGGTGAGGCCCGACTCCCAGTTCTGCACGGCCTGTGGGCAAAGCTGGGTGCTCAAATTCCTCATCCGATTTCGGGGATCGTTTCTGTGACCTGGGTCTGAATGCATTAACTACCCCACATATCCCCACTTGATGATTGTTGGATGGAGGATATACATATGGATATACTTTGTTATACGATATACTGTGTTAATCTGTGGTATACTTTCTATATTGCCATCTAAAAAATCCATCACGAAGATCCACAGTTTTGCTACCCGACCATCTCCTAGGTCTCCAAAAGCGGGGTGCCAACCAGGACGCATCCACCATTTGGGGTTGATCCCAGAGGTGCTGTGATTCTTGCAGTCGATCATCGCATAGATGTCCTTTTCGGTTGGTGATGGTTGGTCGATTTAGAGAGACATATGGCTATGATTGGCTATGGATCAATACCTATGAAAATACCATTTTTAGGGGGATGAACATCCATAAATCCCACCTATTTTGATGTGAACTACAGGGGGATAGGGTTTTGACCCATCCCCATATTTCCCCCATGTTTTTTCATGCAATCGATTTCCATCCTCATGCAGGAACCGTTGGGTGTTCCCAATCAGAAGAGGCAAAAGAAGAACACAAAGGTTGGCAAAGGGTTGAGATAGGGCCGTTGTGTGTGTCATGGAGCAAATTCTGCCCAAGTATCTAAAGCCAACCATTGTCACGGGCACTTCTGGTTGGCTTGTCAAACTCCTTGACACGAACAGTTTGCCGAACTCCCCGGGTTTGCCATGGTTGCCCAGCATTTCTTGACACGACATTGATTCTGCATGCTCCGCCAGTTGACCACATGGCGTTGCGAGCGGCGCTCCTAAGTGATACAACAGATACCACAGCTGCGAATCGATGCAGATGAAATTGCAGAAGAAACTAGATCGCCGGGCATTTTCCTGATGCCTTAGCAAAACATTTGAACATCAGATTTCGGGCTAGCTTGGAGGGCGAAAATTCAACTGACTTCTGATTCTGAGGTATAAACATGGAGTGGACATCCGTGCTGGTCCAGATATCAATGAGCAGCTCAGCTGAAATCAGTGACTTCGAGAAGGGGATCAGTGGGTCAGTGGGTTGCTGAAACTCCTCTCGAAAACACAGCAAGGCATCTCCCAGTCGGGGCCTTTTCTTGAAAGCCACAGAGTTGTTCCCAAGTACATCGACATCATAGTCTTTGCTGTACATTCTTTGGACGCAAGAATCATGGGGATGGGGCAAAACCTACTGCCATATTTTGGGGGAATCAAGATCCATTAGCCCAGCTACGCCAGCTACAGTCAGCTACCATCCGGGTACCATCCGGGTGCCGGTTTGACATCGAGGTCGCGGGTGCCTCATGCCCTTGAGCCTGGTGAGGAGTGCGAGCCACAGTTCAGGGATCTGATGCTGCAGTGACAATGATGACACCAACAATGGTAATGATTCATGACAATACTATATATAAATATATTATAGATATAGAATGATATAGAAACTATCTATACAATACTATACATAAACTATATGAACTATGTAAAGATCATGATTGCTGTTGCTTGGCGGTAGTCTTTTGAATCTGACCATTTGAGGAACGGCCACCCCAGAAACTTCCCCCGCGCCATGAGGTTTCTGGTGGAGCGCGAGGAGGCTGGCGTTGATGGTGTCCTCTACTTGAAGCTGGCGGATGGCCGAGGCGAAGATGGACGGTGTTTGACTCGGTTTCATACAGAGATACTGATACAGTAGCTCAGTAGCTCTTATTGATTCTATGTTCCGGTATTTTTTCTTGGTTTTAGTGACTTTAGTGGTTTACCGGCCGTGCTTAGCATGGATCAGAACGCATCGGTTTCATGATTTTCATGTGTGTCTTTGTCGGCCCTGTGGAGGTTGGGTGTTCGATCAGAAGCCCAACTGGGGTGTGATTTGTGCGCCATGCAAAGGTGGGCGCAAGGTGGGGCTGGGGACCATGAGATTTGATCCTCTATGTGACATGACATGGTCTGACATGGTGGTATGATGTGGTATGGTTAGTTTAGTTGGAATCCAAGAAAAGCAGGGTGAGAAGTAGGAAGTGAGAAGTACGAAGAATCGTCTCACGAGGATCTTGAAAGTCTTGTGCAAGTCTTATACAAGTCTTGTGTAAGTCTTGCATGCTTGCACACACATGCACAAACACACATGCATGGACGTCTCTTGGACACAATAATATATATATACACGTGTATTTTTTCTATGGTGCTTTACAGAAGGTTTTGCCCAGTGTCCTCAGGTTTCAGTTACCGTGTCGACTCTGAAGCCAGAGAAGGTTGGCTGAGCATGGCGGTGGATGTTTTGGGTGAGCTTGCTGTTTCCAAACGCGGAAGGGACCCCCAAACCAGTTCTTAGTTTCCTCAGTCTATGGCAGCAGATTTGCGGCATGTCTGCATGTCAAAGTTCTGGGCATATCGGTTGCAGGGATCATGGCAAGGTTCTACCAAAAGGGATACTTTCTCATGGGCTGTGGAGGTCTCTTAGCTTGCGGATCCCTCAGAAGTGTTTTTTTTTTCAAAAGCTGGTGGATACAAAATCACATCAGATACCCTTCGAACTAAAAACATGGCAGTCCAAACCGGACCATTTCTTGAAGATTCACAGATTCATTTCTTGTTATTCGCAAGTTTGAAGGCAACTTTCGCAGATTTTTTTTCGGATTTTCCGGTTTCCAGGCAAAGCCCAATCAGCGAAAGGCCAAAGCCAAGGCTTGCAGGGCGGCATTTGGCCAGATGGTGTGTTGATCCCCACATTTTCAAACCAAACGTTGATTTTGAAGAATTAGGCAGATGTTCCAATATCAATGGAATCGATGGTGAATTCCAACTTCTCATTTATTGTTTTGTTTGAAGAAAATCGCATCCTTGACTTGTTGACATCACTGCATGTTGTTCTGGAGCTGGCAGGAAAAAGCGGAGCGACCGTGCTCCGAACGCAGTGAGCGCAGTCGCAGCCAGAAGAAAGCAGAGGCATTGGCCAGACAGGGTGAGACCTGAGCATTTTTTGAACATTTCATGGTCCATTCTCCAGGAAATCATCCTGGTTGGTGCCATCCCTTTTTTCGACACCGGCGGGCTAATTAAGCTTCCGAGGGGTCTAAATGGGTCTGGGTCAGATTTCCCCGCTGGGGATACACGGTCTTTTTCGTGGTATCAACCATCCTATGGGTCACAAATTTGATCCTTGCAATCCTTGCCTGAAAGTAGAGGCTGAACTGATGTGCTTTAAGTGGTTCCATTTCATGTTGGTAAAGCAATCACAAGCCATCTCAGTTTTGATGGTTTATACCAACCATTTATGAATATTTATGATAAATTTGGGGATGGTTACGGGATGGTTCACTATTGCTTTGCCAACATGAAATCGCCCTTGAGCACTTGCGCAATCCCACGGCGGCAACGCCAGACACCCAAGCAGCGTCGCTCCTCCAGCTCCCAGCGAAGATCCACCGGGCGGGATGACAAGGCACCAGGGCTGACGCGTTGCAGGGGTCATGTGTTGTGTCGACCCCCAAAGCTTTTCTTTGTTGACAGAGAAGCCTATTCATTTAGCATGGACTTGGAATTTCCAACGTTTGACAGATGACAGATTATGACTGATTATGTATTGTCCATGGTCATATTTGATCGCAGCAGTGCATGACCAAGGAAGGTAAGGCCTGCAATCCGCTCTTTGAGTCAAAGATCCTTGGCTGGTGCTGTCTTGAACATGTCCAGTGGCAGGTTGAAAAGACCAGTGGCCCGGGGTCAACTCGTCGCAGCCGATCTCGACCTGTGGAGGCGGGGGTGGAGACGCATCGAGTATCCAACAGGCCATGTGGAAAAGGTTTGAACCGTGTGGATGAACTACCTTTTTTTCGGATTCGGAATGTGTTGCGAGTGGATTTTCTCTTTTTCCTGATTCATGAAATTCAAGCTTTTCCGGTCCATTGTTTGGCACGGAAACCGCTATAGCTTTGCCAGGACCTTGCAACTCCCACAGCTTCGCCTGCTGAGCCACGTGGCCGGAGCCCAACGCCCCGGGGTGAAGTTGGAAAGGATGTGGCACCCAGAGGCAACCAGAAGAAGAGCCAGGAGCTGGAGGGGTCAACTGGGTCAACATTGAAAGTTGAGCTTGCAATGGCTTCACTTTGCTGACTTTGCGATGTGTTTCAAGAGGTGGGCGTTGGGGTTGATTTGATTCGTGGTCTTAAATCTTGCTCCGTGCCACCTTGTGCTCCATCTCCATTAGTTGCAAAAGACTGTTCCCAAGCAAGACTTTGGGAAACCATTTAATCACACAGCTTTCCACAATGCACGACTAGCACCCCCAGGTTATGTCGACACAGACAAAGACTCTGAAACAAGTAGCCTTCTCGACTTTGTTTGAATCTGACATACATACATTTCAACGAGAGTCTTTTTTCAATGACTTTTGTAGGCCTTTGACGGGGCAGTAAAGGGCTCAATGCTATGAATGGCATTGCGGCATTACCCTTTTACTGACCTGGGCAGGAGGCAAAGCTGCGCCGAGCTAGAGATGTCGACGATGATCTCAAGGGGAAGGAGGGGCAAGACGCGCACAGGTTGTCATACAGCTACAGCAGCTCCATCAGATTGATGAACAAATGATGCATCAAATGATGAACAGATTGATCATCAAGTTTTGTTTGCTGTTTGATGATGTTTGATGCATAGGTCTCTTTCAAACCATTTTCAAACCATTTTCAACCATCACAACGTTGGGAGAACCCCACGATCCCATCCAACAGAAACCCCAGGTGGGTCGGCCTTGCAGGAGACCCCAAGGACCCCCCAGAAATCGGCTCCTGCGACGCCAGCGAGGTCCGGAAGCGCTGCCCGGCAACGAAATGTGCTTGGCATTTGGTGGTTTTCACATGGGTATGGATCAATACCTATACTATTAATACCATTTTTAGGGGGATGAACATCCATTTACCAGCTATTTCGATGTTCACCAGGAGTACAAGGTTTTCACACCCTGCCACATGTTCCTTTGGTTCCATTTAAAATTTAAGATCTGGGATACTGATCCAAATTAATTCATATTGGATCCTATTTCTCTGGGATTGATAGTCAGCATGGACCAGCAAGAATCATCCAGATAGGGTTTTCGAGTGTAAGGACAACACGAGATGTAAAGGATATCCAGGATACGACATATCCATGGCGGCAATCCCGGGACCACGTGGCATTAGCCCTTCATAGGGGTTCCAGCCTGGCGGTGCTGAGTTGATGTCCATGTTACGTTCATCTCCTGTGCCGAAGATTGATGTGCGCCAGGGCTGCGATGGCTTCAAAAAGATCACCTTAAAATGTGGAGCTGTTCACTAGCTGTTCACTATTCACATCAGCAGGAAGTGAAACAAGTCCTTTGTGCTCAGTGGATTTTTGATTTTTGGGATGGCCAAAATGGTAGGTCTTGACTCACCAGCAATCATACAGGGGATCACTGGGATGCAACGAACGTTGATCCCTCAAGGGGTACCATGGCTACGGCGGGGAGGTACCGCGGACATCGCCACGACGTTCAATGGAGGCGAGGGATGGTCATCACCATAGCCTCAATGTCTTGAAGGGAGCATCATCCATACCTAAAATCAATTGCTTCGGTTTAATTATCATAAGTTGGGGGTATATCATGGTAGATCCCCGTTTCAGACACACCCAAATCCTGGATTTCCCATGGATTCTCTAAGGGTTTTTTCCACTGTTTTGGTTCCTACAAAGCCAGAGGATACCCTGCCAGGAAAGTCCCGTGCCCACTGGCTTGGTGGCCGCCGCCACGGCAGTCTCGCGATTCAACGAGGTCGGGAGTGGCATTGGGGACCAGAAAAAATGGAGAAACAAGGATCATTTCATGGGGACTTGCTAGGGATTTACTATGATTTGGGTGATTTGGGATTGCATTTGATGTGGATTTCATGGGGAATCTAGTTGTGATCTTAGGGGATTACATGACCCACAGCAGATGGGATTGAATACTCATATAATTTGATGATGTGATGCAGATGCCATTCTTTTTGGGAGGGAAGTGTTTTTGAGACCTACCCGTGTCAATAATTTTCTGGATTGAGCACACCTTTTTCTTGGATCGGTATCTTTCCATTTGGAATCATTTATCAAGCTGGGCATTGTGATGTGGGGGTCATTCCATTAAAAGCGGACCTCCAACGATGCAACTTGCACTATTTTGCAGGTGCCAGCGCCTGATGTGCCACCACCCAAGATCGACAAGCAGCTGGCCACACCTCCCAAAGAGCCCGCCAGCCGTCGCCGAGCGCGTTCCACGGCGCCGCAAGCTGCAGCACAAGCTGAGGATGGTGATGGGCTGGCTCGTAAGGGAATGAAGTTTAAAAGTTCCAAGTCGAACTGTGACCACTGTGACCACCGAAAAATCAATAATTCATAAAATTTCCATCAAGAGCTGCTGCCAGGAGCACCGGAGTTCCTTGCCTTCCAGCCTGATCCCTGCGCATGTTCGTGCCATGTTGGCCAAGCCCCGCAGTCGCTCCCTGGAGCCCATCGTCTCCGCGCTACCAGTGCCGGCAGTGCCCAAGGAGCTGGTGGAGATCAGTTCGGAGGACCCTGGTGAGATGCTGCTGACTAAAGTGACTAAAGATACAAAGTATGGGACATCAAGTGGACATCAAGTGGCAGTGGGTGTACCCGTGTACCCCAGATCCATCAGCCTCGCAGGAGAGCATCAAAGAGGAAGATCCGGGCTTCGACTACGAGCTGCGGCAGTTCCGGCAGCGGCAGGAGATGGAGCGCAGCGCCAAGAGTGCCTGGCAGGCGGCACAGCGCTTGGCAGAGGAGGCTGAGAAGCAGAGGTGGGGTTGTGATTGGTGGGTTGGGGGGTGAGCAACTGCTTGAAGGACTTAGGGTTTGGGATAGTTTGGGGAAGGGGCTGCCAATATTTCGATGATTTGGTCCAAATTTCAAGCTGGAAGTCTTGTGTCTGATGCCGCTGCCACTTGGTGCCCAGGTCGGAGATGAGGGAGAAGACCACCGCGGCTGAGAGGCGCAGCATTGAGGTGGGGGTCAACAGAGCAGGTTGAGGGATTGTGGGGCCAAACCAGCACCATTGTTGTTTTTGGGTGGCTGACAGTCACCGATATTCCAACTTTTTCGAGCAGTTGCCAGGTGGAGAGTGCCTTGCAGCAACTCCGCCAAGCCGTCGCACAGGCTTGGAGCCTTCCATCTGTGGGTTAAGTCGGTAAGGTGCCAGTCCTGGTCCAGTCTCACCAGAGCTTTAAAGGATGGGCTAAAGGCTGAGGGTGTTCCCCTAAGTTTCCTGCAAAACCACCACTGGAATCCACTGGATGTGTTGCACAGAAAGTCACTGAAGCCTCTGCAAGCCACATGTTCCATGTATGTTCCATGTCAGGTGGAGCAACGTGCTGCTGATCGGGCAGTCAAGTTGCAGCAGCAGCGGGAGGCGGGTTTTTCTGTTGTGCAAAAAGATTTTCTGAGGTCAAGAAGGATCCAACATGACATTGTGCTTTTACATCAGTAAAAATTGGTTGAGGATCCCTTGGATCCTTAGGATTAGACATAAGAAAACCATGTAAACCCCAACATGAGAGTTTGAGACCCACCCAACTTAGCAGTAGCCTCCTCTTGCCAGGCTGCAGAAGCCAAGGCCCAGCAGAACGAAGCTGATTTGAAGGAGGCCCAGGGGCCAGGTTTTGGGATGTTTTCGGGGCACTGGCAGATGGGTTTCAGTGGATGCTGGATGCAGACTGCCTCTGATCTGGCAGGATTCCCGAAAAATCGAGCTGCTTCACGAAGAGGGTGCCAAAAGGTTGGAGCCCCTTGGACCAAAGGCACCCGCGATGTTGGTGATTTGCCCCAAACTTGAAGCCAGGGGAGTTTATCCACGATTCAATGGCTTTCCAACCACAATTATCACGGGAAAGTTGCAACTGGGCATCACAACTATACATCCTCCACATCAGCCGTCCCAAAGGTGCAGTTTTTCCGTTTCTAGCCATACTATGTACATTGAGGTTATTGGAGGAGGAGCTGGCCGAGAAGCTGAAAGATGAGGAGATTCCTTTGATTAGTGCAGAGGAGGTGAGGGAGTCAGAAGGGTGAAGCTCATCAAAGGATCACAGGAGGTATCTAAAGCAACTTCCAGCTGCTGAAATTTGTCGACAATAAGTAAAACTCTCTTGCTTGGCTCCCAAAAGAATCTGGATGTTGTGGTAATGAAGAATTATACACACAGATATGAGATGCAATCATAATTAGCAATCCCTGAACTTCTGAGGACCTTAGAAAAGGTGGGAAGACCCGATTCACCAGATGTTGACCGATCGCAGATGTTGAGCGGTCGCAGGCCTTCAAGGAGCAGTTGGCCAGGACCAAGTCCAAGATCCAAGGTAGGGCGGCCTTGCCAGCTGAGATATGGGACCCAGAGGCCAACATCTGGCGAAGTGATGACTGATATCTGATGCGAAACTCAAATTGGTGATGCTCCCGGCTTGGTGATTAGTGATTAGCCTGATTAGTCTCAAATTGGAGGATTCTTAGTCCTGAATTGACAGTCAAATTGGAGTTCACTCTTGGGAATGAGTCAAGAGCTGAGGCAAGGTCTTGCAACTGGAAAGGAAGGCCGCAGCGGAGAGGCTCACACCAAACCAAGTGGGTCCCGGGTGGTTGTGCAAAATTTACCAAGTGGTTTTAGTAAATGTTTTGGACCAGAATTAGCCCAATACCTGTATTTTTCCCATATTGGCTTATATATATAATATAATATAATATATATACGCATATCGATGATCATTTTTAAACACCAGCCACAGGCGAGCCGTGGAGTCTGAGGCTGTGGCCCAACGTGCTGTGGCCGGGGAACCCTTTGGGAGCCTCTGGAACGAGATCTGATGGACCCTCTGGAAGATCCCCATCAAGGATATGGAGGTTTCTAGCTGGAAAACTCATAAATGATTTTTATTGTCATGGTTGATCATTCTGGATTGATCATTTTTTGGTCTCTGTATGGATCATAAACATATACTTAAACATTCTGATGATAAACAATTGAGTCGCCCGAAGACTTGTTCAGAGTCAGATGCTTTGCTGTCTCCCTGGGGCCCTGGGTGGAGTTTCTGCATCGTTTTCTCCGTAAAGCCTGAGGCACCACAGTTGGCTGCCCTGAAGTTCGGTATCTCAAGGGCCCGGATGTTGCCACTGGCGGAACGGCGGAACGGTTTTCCAACGTGATTTTGGACAAGTATATGTATTAATTGCGTTTAAATGGCATTAATAGCGTCTAATGCGTCACTAATTGCGTATAAGTAAACTAATTACGTTTAATGGTGATTACAGAGTGCGTATAAACACTTACTAGATTAAACTATATCTTCGAGGTTACGGGAGGTCACGGTTACGGGAGGTTACGGTTACGGGAGGTTACGGGGAGGTTACGGGAGGCTCCTGGATACTTAGATTCTACAGATTCCAGAGATTCTAGAGATTCCTAGGTTACGGGAGGTTACGGTTACGGGGGGTTACGGGAGGCTCCTGGATACTTAGATTCTACAGATTCCAGAGATTCTAGAGATT